GGTAGCATTTTGTTGAAATTGGGTTTGTCTAAAAATTACTGCTGACTTCTTATCTATAAAATGTTATTTATTACATATTTTATTTCATATGAGCACCTATCACATCTACTGTGCAGATTCCAGCACTTCTCACAATTCGTTTTCCCACAATCTGATCCACAACGGTGGCGACTGCCTGTGATGGTGACGGCCTGGAACAGACTATGGCCAGTCTGACCTCGGGGCTCCAGAAAACACAATGGCTAAGCCAACAAAACTCCGAAAAACGGAGGATATGCTGGACACCTCACAGCTAGTGAAGACGGGCCGTCCAACTCTCCAGGTGACCACGTGTCCGAGCATTCATCGTCGTCCAAAGTGACCATAGAACATTCAGCGCGTTGCTTCCTCTGCTGCTTGAGGATTGTAGTGTTCTTTACGAATGCCGCAGATTGCTGATTTAGTTGACTCTTCTTGCAATCTTGCGGATAGCCGGGTTAAGGTTGCTCCCACGTGGACTGGATAGCAGTCTTGGAGCAGGAATCGAACTAGCGTCTTTGCATCCTGATCGGCGTCATTACTAACCACTGTCCTATCCTCGTTCCAGATATTCCAAATGTGAAAACTAAATATAAGATTTAAAAGTTAGAGGTTCTCCAACGGATTCCTTATCGTTTAAAGATCAACAGGTGCATTCATAGCGTTTCTGTCGGTTGTAAACGTTAAACAGTTCTAGATGATCATAATTCATTTTTTAATAACAAGCGAGGACCATCGACTCGGATCAACGGCTCTGAGGAAGACGAAGACGTCGAAACGTTAGCCGAAAATAAACATCATTATCAACCTCGTGTAAGCTCATCAAAAAAAGAATTCATTTTTGAGTTCATATTGAACTATGCCGGAACTAAATTCGCCATTTATTCGATCAATTCCAGCAAACAATAAATGACGATGACGACGACTAAGGTGATTGAGGAGTATTATGTGTATCCAACCATCTGCACTTCTACTGACTACATTTCTGGAAAGTCAACACAAATGATTCGAATAGTTCCAATAGTGATGCTAAATCTTTCTTTTTTTCCCTAATTACTCTCAACTGAACAGTGAAGCGAATACGAAATTGAAGAACTGGCTTATTGTAGCCTCTGACTTACTTTCTATTAAACAAAAACGTCAGTGGAGTCGGCTGTAGAACAGCATGTGCATTCATGAACAATTCACAAAAAGGAATTGAACAAAGAGGTATTGTTCTGATATGTACAAAACGTAACGTTATGGTCATATTTATTGCACATTCTCCCACTATAGTATTCAAAGTTTTCAAAATTTCCAAAATATAGTTTAAGAAGACGGGTAGTCGAATGGATCCGCTTAATGACCGTCATCAAAACATAAAATAGAATCGAACAATACTTTATGACTACTTGTTGGTTCATTGAAAAACAGAAAGTTAAACCAGTAAAGTTCAAAGGAGCTGAACGACCGAACTGCACGTTTCAAACGATCCGATCTCTATAAAGCGAAGAAATCAAATCACTAAGAAGCTAGGTGTGGCGCAGAGTGAGAAAGAAGATCATCTCTCATAAGTTTCGTTAAAACTCTTCACTCGATGACTTTTATTCGGATATTACTAAAATTAGCCAGCAGGGACATATTCTAGGACACCACAAAGATAGATAAAATCCCAAAACAAGCACTTATACACCATTTCTTCAAAGATTTCAGTAAATTGCTCGAGAACTATAACTCTTCAACGGAAATTCACTATATACCTCATGACATAAGGCTTTCTTGTTAGCAAAATAAAGAAGATATATATATATATTCGCTGGAAATAATATGGAAAAGTGTTGTGGCTTACAACGAAGCAATTGGTGACATATACTGAAAGAATGGTATAGGCCAAAAATAGTCTCTTCCTTGTGCACAAATTTTCGAAATAGACAAAAGAATCGCAAGAATAGTGATTTGAACGAAAGGAGAAAATATGATAGAAAGTAAAGGAGTAGGGAACGGGAAAAATTCCTATCCATAGAAGAGTTAGGGTATTCGCCTTCGAATTGCTTCCTAATGAGCATCAACAAGGAAAAAAGCACCAGAACGTGAGAAAAAAAACATTTCCAAAAAGAATAAACATACGAGTAACGAAGAATGAAAATAATAAACTAACAGATTCACAACTTCGACTACTAGTAGAATTTCTATGCACTCAATAAAAATAAGGGATCGATCCAGACATTATAGGCACCACTGCCACTACCACAACACCAACTCATTTTCGACTAATAAAAGTCCCTAAATAACACAGTATTTACTCACCGAAGCATTCAACGCAGTGAGCGACAAGCTGCGCGATTGTCAGCGGCCTGTCGCGCACCGATCCCATCGCTCCAGTCGCTGCTGCAGACTATAAACGCCCTATGGTATACACCGTCACGATACGGTCGAAGTACGGTAGCGTCCGTGTCTTAGAATCCGGTCACAAATGCCATTGCCTCAATCGAGCGGCCGTGTGGAGCGTCATAAAGTGTTAATAACTCGTTGTCAGAGAGTCAGAATCGCCAAGAGATGAGCTACCCAGTACAACTACTGGTACTGCTCCAGTTGGCCACTTTCGGCGTTGATGTTGTGGCTACTGCGATGGCGACGACGACGACCACAACCACGACCACGACGACGCCAGCTGCATCGATTCATCGGACGCCATGCGTACGGCCCCGCCCACTAAGCATCTCGATATACGAGCAGCTTTTGGCCGAGCGCCAAGCTTCGACAGCGCCTGTTCACTCAGACTCTCTCCCTCCCTCACTCGTTCGTTACCACTGCGCTTGTCGGACTGAGTGTGTCCTCCTCATGCCCTCTGGACGATGATGATGCAAATGGAATGGATGCATGAGCGTAATGACGGACACTAAACGTCTTCAAGCGAGAAGATTTCGGCTTTAGAACACCTCGTTGCTTTCCCCGATATAGGTGGCGATATTACAGTACGACAGTTTTTAGTTCACGTCCAGGTTAATTGAAAGTTGGTTTAATAAAGTATTATTAGGCTTTGTGCTAGTTATTCCTATACCGAATGCTGCACGACGATTGTAGATTTGAAAAGAAATCATCATCAGTCGACAATCAGTCAACAACCGTCCTTTATAAAAGTGCGCCGTCGGTTAAGCAAGTCTCATTTGAGCGGTACTCTGTTGAAGAGGATCCGACTCGATACGAAGAAGAAGACACAGCGCTGAGAAGACAAATGACTTTGGATCACTGACTCGGATTATCGACTCTGAGGAAGATGAAGACGTCGAGACGTTGGCTCGTTAGAATAAGTATGTAGAAACCTCGTGTAAGCTGAACAATTCAAAGACATTGACGGCGATAGTGTTATGGTAGCCAAAGACAAACTCAGTGTTATATGACAATTCCGGCTATAGTCTAACCTATATCCTACCAACTAAATTTCGTGAAATCACGTTTAACATTCCACTTCTTGCCTATTTTTTTTCATGGCAAGCGATTAATTGAAATACAATCACAAGGATCCTGTGGTATGAGGAAAACTTGGAACCTCATTTGGGCTTCGAACCTACAATTACCATTTCTGGGTGCTCACGTCCTAACCACCACACCAATCGAAGCCTTTACTTTGCTTTTCTTTTCAGCCACCTTTCTTCACTTTTTTTTGCTAGAGCAAGGGACTTAGTTGGTGTGCTGGATAGCATGTGAGTGCCAAGCACGAGTTATCATGAACTCGAAACCTAACTGAGAAGCCAAGTCTTGCGCATATCTCGATATCCTTGTTCCTGGATTTTGTTTTTTATAAATTTGATGAATTGGTGAAAAAAAGAACACTTGAAGGAAAAGAACCTGAAAATGATCACTACATTACTGGTCCACCACTAACGTACATTTCACATTTGTTCAGTCTTTTTTTTTTAACTTCTGGCATAACAAATAAACAACACCACAGAATACCATAGTGGTTATACTAACTAATCAAAGTCGAAAGCAAACAACCCGTATTTAAACATGTCAACTACCAAACTGCTGAAGAACGGATCAACTTCACGAGATCGTAGTACCTCCAAGGTCAGATATCACATTTATCTTACTTCACCTCATAAAAAAAAACTTCAAATTCTTGGCTATCCTATGAAAACAAACTAGCGTCACTACTATCCACCAGGAACTGACACACACCGAGCAACTCTTCAAAATCAAAAATATCCATTCTTTTCGTAAACAACGTCAACTGTTAATTCAATAATAACCTCTGCTCAGAACAATGTTTAAACTATAACACCTAGTGAGAACGAATACACGAAAAAAAACATGTGTTTTGTAAAGTAGATGAAAATAAATTCACTAGACAGAATGACGCTGAAGCGACAGACCACTCAATTTTTATCGTCTCAACAACTGTAAATTACCTTCAAATTCAAAATTCGGAATTCAGGAAAAAAAATACAAAAACTGCTGAAGAACTCCGATCGATATATGCTCACATCATCTGATATTACCAATCAACGATGAAATACTATTTCTCATGTCTACCTACAAAATTCTCCACTGAGTGAATCGTAAAGGGCCAAATCTTGTACTAATTGCACCGTGCTTTCAAAAAATACTTTCAATATATATGTACAATAAGATGCTAAATGTTAGATATCAAATTCAAGTTCGCTTAAGCTACAAATATGAGAGATTTCCGGATAATTGAAATGACTGCTGGACGAAGAAATACACATGTACAATAACATTTAATACAAAACTGAACTAGAAAAAAAAATCACAAGTTACTGGAAACATAGACAATATAGATGCAACCGAGAAAATTGTGTAACCAGCTTCTAATTATATATAGCAGCGAATTAAGTATTATTTAACGCAGCGCTTCACGTCATTTGGGCTACGACCATCAATAAAAGCAACAATGTACGTAAAGCTTCGTAAAATACCTATTATTAGAGATATGAACAAAAAAGTATATCTTGGGATTAATTATTAATAAAATTGCTAAATTATCCCCTGAGCCATGTTATGATTCGTTTACTAGCCGTCAAAGGCTCATCATTACCTCGTACAAAACTACTTGCTCGCTCGAGAGTTAATGATTTTAGGCGATTTTCGTCCTCCAATCTAAAATATTGTAATGAAGAGTCGGTAACAAATCCATTAAATAATTTTCGGTTACCTCTTTGTGTGTGTCATATATCAAGCTCTTAGTATCAAAGGAAAATTAGACACTGCCCAACTGCGATTAAAAAATATTAAAACTACGATTGCAACCGAATCCACAAATCAAACCATTATCTTAGTTTTGCTCACTAACACCCTTTTACGAGATAAATCTCAATACGTAACACTGCTTACAGTTGTTCTTCAGTAGCGAACAGCTTCTGGATAAGATCGTCTTTATTCTGTATAGCATTCATATACGACTCCATCAACTCATCCGTTCGATCTTTCTCTTCAGCAGTTTTGAAATAATCTGAAATATGTCAACAAACTGCTTGGTAATTTTGGTTTCAAAAAATTTGATGTCGAACTGTTTGCCACGATAAACTTGTCAGACGTTGTTAATAGCATTAATATTAGATAAATTAAAAATCTGGATTCGTTTTGTTTTCTAACAAAGTCCATATATGTAAACCATTCCATTAAAAACGCAAATAAACCAATGACGCTGCTGGTGCACGAAAACTGCATGATCTTTCTCTCGCAGAACTTTTGGAAACCCCATTCAAAGAGCTTATGTAGATGACTTCTAAAGTTATTAAAATCAATGAGGTTGATACCATTTAAACAATTTCGAAATACGAAAAAAAAATTAGAAGTGCTGAGTGAAAGATCCGTGAGAATCACGTGGATAGACTAAAAACACACATCACGTTTCAAAGCTTATTTATGTGTGGCACAGTGTTCTTAATGCGATACCCACACATTATCGTAATCGCCTTGGTGATATTTGTTGCAAATACTAAGTATCTGTGCGACCCTTTAAGTCTCAATATGGTTTTGACCTCACAAGAACAAAGGAATATGACATTTCAGAAATAATCCCTACTGCTCCCATTTTGAAAACTTCATAGGATGCGTATTAATGAAATGCTGACACTCGCTGGAATGAAATCTGGCACAAAGCACGTAGATATCTTACATTTATAGAGGATAAGCCACGGATCTCCCTCATATGAGGGATCTCAGGCCGGTTAGTCGCGAGGTTACGTGGAACGTCCCCAGGCGGCGGACAGAGGGCTAATCGCGGACCAAAAGTGACCTTTGCTTCCCTGAAATGCAGATGGTTCCTGGGTATGGACTCCCTGTTTCTGCTGCGCCGATTTGGCACATACGTTCGAGATTTACGAAGCTACATGTCCACTCTGGGAGAGACTGGAAAACCACCCGTGAATATATCCAGTCCTCGATACAAGATTTCATCATGCAAGGAAAAAGGATGAAGCACGAGTAATCAACCTGGTCTTTAGACGACGCGAAACCACCCATTCAACTCCGTTTATAACACCGGAGAAGAACTGTTCCTCGGAATATCCGACAGTAGAGTCGGTGTTCTCGTCAACACGAGCTTGTCCATGAACTTCGATTCAACCGAAAAGCTAACAACACGAATCGGACGTATAATCTTGAAGAGATGTGGATCAACGCCGGCTTTGAGAATCATCATCATTTACGCGTCCACATCAAACTATGACGAAGAAGTCGAAGCGCACTATATGCATTTGGGGAAGTTCTACAAAGAAGACCATACATTCTTCAAGGTCATCGCTGGAGATTTTATCGCAAGGATTGGACCAAGACGAATGTTTGAGGAACTTCGCATTGGCACCCACGGATTAGAATAGAAGAGCTGGATGAGCGGCTGACTGAGCTTACCATGACGGCGAAGACCATCGATAGTAACTAACAATTCCAGAAGTTCCACACTCAACGTCTGATATGGGAGTTTCCCAGTGGAAAGTACCATAACGAAAAAAACCATATCATAATAAATCGAAGGTTTCGCCTTCCTGATGTCGTCGTTGCCCCAAAATTTCACACGGAATCAGACCATCGCGTCCTTCGTGCAAGATTCCATTTCTCGCAGAAAAGGGAAAAAGCCGCTAAATTAAAAAAAAAGATGTTCCAAAACCACGATAAATTGGGACTTATTCAATTCACTAATCGGCTGTTGGAAACATTCCGTTTTCGACATCGGCGAGGAATACGATCGGCTCATTCATCACCTTCACGTCAGCGCTGTGAACGCTCAGAGTTCGAAAGTCACTAAGAAACGCTTGTCTCCAGAAACACTAGAGCTGATACGGCAGCGTTGAATCTCACGAGCTGCATGCAACCGCAAACTAACGTCCGAACTTGCAAAACAATGCAGACAGGCGATCAAAGAAGATCTGAAACAGAGAAGAGCAGCAAATACGATCGAAGCTGCAGAGGCCGAGAAAAGCATTCGCAAAACCCAATGAAATTTTACTAATTATGGAACCAAGATGGTTGCACTCAGACGCCCAAACGGAACAGTTACAGCGGCCAGAAAGGCAATGGAGGAAATTATTCACGAAAGTACTCAGATCTTTTCAATAGCCACGTCCTCCTCTCATATGAAGTACCCAGGATCGACTTTCTGTTAACCTCGACATTGGATTATGAAATCGTCGTTTTCTCTCTCAGTAATCGCGAGGTTGTGAAATAGCAAACGTTTACTTGTATACAATAACACACATACAACACAATCCGAGCTGACATTTCGACAGAATCGCCTTCTTCATGGATAAGGATGGATACGTCATTCCACCGGTTCTCCCTTCCCAAATTCGACATGCTATTTCATCCGTGAGAAATCGAACAACACCAGGTCTGGCTAGGATTTGTACACCTGAAGAATCTTCCGGCAGTTCTCCTAAAAACACTGGTTCGGGTCTTCACACGTTACCTCTCTGAATGTAAGGTGCCTGCTCAATGGAAGACCAGCAAGACCGTGTTATTGTTCAAGAAGGGTGACTTACACAATATCGGCAACTATCGCCCAATCTGCTTACTGTCTGTCGTCTACAAACTTTTCACTTGAGTAATCCTAAACAGGATTGACAGAACACTAGACGAAGGACAGCCATGTGAGCAAGCAGGATTTCGAAGAGGATTTAGTACGATGGACCACATCCACACGGTAACACGGCTCATTGAAGTATCGCGAGAGAACAAAAGACCGCTCTGTCTCACTTTCATTGATTTACAGAAGGCCTTTGATTCAGATGAGATGGAAGAAGTCTGGGAAGCCAAGATAGTCAAGGTCAAGGTATAAGCCAAGATAGTCAAGGAGTCCCTACCCAGTACATAAAGATTTTTCGTAAGCTGTACAAAAAATTCACAACTAAGATATCGCCATTCTACAACGATATTAACATTGACGTCAAAAGAGGAGTTAGGCAAGGGGATACCATCTCGCCAAAATTATTTACCACCGCCCTCCAGAACGTCATGTGAACATTGCAATGGGATAATATGGGTGAAAATCGACGGTCGGCAGTTACAACACCTTCGCTTTGTTGATGACATCGTCCTTATAACACCAAACATTAGCCAAGCGGAACGTATGCTCGACGAATTTGATAAAGCTTGTGGAAAGACTGGTCTTCGACTAAATCTCACACAAACGATGTTCATGAAGAACGGATTGGCTTCGCATGCCCCATTCACGATCAACGGAACGAATATCTCCGAATGCTCCAGTTACATCTATCTAGGTCGAGAAATCAATATGATGAACGACCTAGCTCCAAAGCCGAGCAAAAGGAAACGAACGACTTGGGGAGCTTTCAAAAGCATCGAGGATGTAGTGAAGAGAACACCGACTACGTGCCTACCTTTTCGACTCAACGGTACTTCCTGTCCTAACGTATGAGTCAGAAACCTGGTCGCTGCGTAAGCAAAATGAAAGGTCACTCAGCGTTATCGAACGCGCAGTCGAAAGGACGATGCTAGGGGTATCCCGTGTTAAACAAGCAAGGGAAAGAATATGAAGTTCTGACCTGCGTCACCGATCAGAAATCGAAGATGCCTTGCTGTATGCTAAACAGTTGAACGCAAGGTGGTCCGGACACGTAATGCGTATGAACGACAACCGATAGACAAGAGCCGTTAGCGACTTTCCGATATGTTAGTATTATCTCCTTCAAAGTACAAGAACATGTAACATCGTGATTAGTTCTTTAGCATTAATCTTCCACATATTCCTTCATCAGAGCTACCTCCTACACATGCCTTCTGTATAAATTGGAGCTACTCAATAGAATAAGAAGAAGAGCTAAACAGAGACCAAGAGGACACAAACGTCTTCTCCGCAAACCGTTTTTAGAAAAGGGAATTGTAGTTCACGTGCAGAAGCGTGAACTACAAATTGGAACCTTCTTTAGATCAATAACAAAGGTTAGTAGTAGAAGTTACTAGTTACGAGACAGAGCACTTTACATTTAACTTCAACGATGCTGAGATATTTGCAAAACTCCGGAAAGTAGGTGATTGTGGTGGAGATCGAGCGCGCTGTTACGCTTTCCGGGGAGTAACGCGTTCACCACCACACCATGCGGGTCCTTCGTCTCGCCTGTCTCTCAGCTAGCTCTATCGAGTTGACAAGTGATTGCCGATGGCACGAATCGATAGAACTACCTGAGACAGGCGAAACGAAAGACCCGCAAAGTGTGGTGGTGAACGCGTTACTCGCCGAAAAGGACAACAGCGCGTTCGTTCCCCACCGCAGACACCTACAGTCCGGAGTTTTATAAATACCTCAGCATTATAGTAGTTACATTTCGCAATATACCTTGCCATTAAAAAGAGTAGGCAGTAAATAAAACGGTTAAGATTGTGATTACAACTTTTATAACTTTACATTTATTTATTTTTATTTATTTGGAAAAGGTAGCAGAGCGGTTAGTGATGCAGTCTATCCGGAAGTAAAGTGCTGGTCCGACAAACTACTCCATGTTCTCCTCAAATCCACGCATGTGGGAACGCTTTAGCTAAACAAATCAAACACAAGAATTGCACAAGAGATCTGATGAGAAACCATGTAAAAAAAATTTTATCTACGTTTGTATTAACGCATCCTTATTACTTACCAACCTCAAGGTTAATAAAAAGTCGGCTTTGAGCTCGTAGCCTACCAAGCAGCTGATCCCTGGAGCTGGAAAGCTTATACCTACGCATTCAGAAACAACCTACTACCGCCCGCACTTCAGCTGCAAAGGCTCTTGTCTGTCTATCAGAGGACTCCACGGGGGATCGACTGGATTAGCATTGAGCGGCATTCATTAAGAAAAGACAGCCCTCAAGCACCAAAAGCGAATAGAATGCAAGAGATTCTGGAATCCGCACAAGTTATGAAGACGGGTTACATTAAAATTTTAAAACAATTTGTACAATCACCAACGTTCGAAGTTGTGAGATGGTAATTACAAAAAGAGACTAAAAACTGGGAAAAGGAATTAAAAAGTTATAACCGATCTGCTTTTGAAACCGCTTTTCATTTAACCTTGATATAGATAACGTCATTTATTTCACTGCTAACCTAAGACGAGATGTTTTACAACACGAACACTTGGCAACAACCTCGTGTTATCTGGTCAGTGAGAGAAATGGGAACGATTATCCACGACGAGGTTAAATGAAAGTCGTTTTTAAAAAATACTGTTTCACTATGTGACACCTAACTTAACAATGATTGCAGCGGGATGGACTGCTTTGTGTTGAAAAGATGTCGTTATTAGTCAACAGTCAGCTAACAATCGTCCTATACAAAAGAACATCGCCGAGTTACTTCGTTCAAGTGTTGATCCACTGAGACCGACTCGATGCGTTCACAAAGGCCCGTATCGGAAGATCAAACGGCCCTGGACAATCAATTTGGACCAGTCCAACTCCTAAGAAGATGAAGACGTCGAGATGTTAGCCGAATAATGTTTTGCAAAAACAGTGTGTTAACGTATCAATGAAAGAAGGGCTGACTAGTGTCAAAAACTTGAAAACTAAGATTACTCACAATAGTGTTGAGATATTTGCAAAACTCCGGACCGCAGCGTCTGCGGTAGGGAACGAACGCGCTACTGTCCTTCCCGAGGAGTAACTCAAATCAACGAGACGTATTTTCTCGTGCAAAATTTTCGTGGCTGTCAAAGAAATAACTAGCAAACTGCTCTATGGGCAATGCGTTGAAAAAAAAACAGGACTTTGACTGGAATTTAACTCGAAGACGAAAGCTCGTGAGTAGACGACAAACACGTGTCTGATAACACGGAAAAAAGCAACACAAAGATTGAACAACACGGACATCTGACATGGACCCAGTTATCGACCATGTATTACTCTGTGCGGCGGCTATCCACCAACTAACTTAAATACTTACGACAAATAAACGGTAGGTGTTTGAATGAAGCTGTTTCTTATGCGAACACAAATCGATTTATCAAGTTTTATCTGCTAGGGTTATGAAAGTGTTTGGCTGAGTAGATCACATCTCAATTTGACCTTTCCAGGCTCTGAAGAAGGCGAAACCGCCGAAACGTCAGCAATTGTGTTCTAATAAATTCTATATTAACAACCTCGTGTCTGCTTATTGATGAAAAACAAAAGATTGAAGTTTAGAAAATAATACAGCTATAGCAAATTTGGAAGAACTAAAATATTAAGTAAAATAACAGTCCTCAAAAAGATTATTCTTCATCAATATGTGGGTATGTATCAGTTTAAAAACTCGCCATCAGGTGTATTTTTCGTCAAGTTGTCGAGTTCTTGATTGAGATGGGCGATACGACGACTCGCTTCCCTAGAACAACTCGAGATCTCCTTCAAACTACCACCAATTCAGCATTCTATTTCAAAATAATTTCCTCATTTTTAATGTCAGAGTTACCCATTGACTTCCGCTCAGTGATGGAACTTCACACTTCTGTTATAAAATCTTTAATTCCAACGCTGTCTAGAGGAAGCTCTTACGTGTTAAGTTTACTTTGCACAATGTTTCCCATGGAAAATGAGAACAGCGAACTACTTGGCTTGTCGACAACGTGGTAAACCACTAAGCAATACGGAGCACAGGACGATTATTAGTTGAGGAATAATATTGTTTCTAGATTTTTTCGATAAACCATACATATACATATACATACGTACATATACATGTATATATGTAATATATACATACGTACATAATATACTTCTGTACATAGGTATACGTGCACAAGCATTTGTACGCATATACATATACATCCACATGTGTACATATATAAGTATACATATACATATATACATATATGTACATCAATGTATAGACAAACCTACCTAATATTTTCAATGATGTTGTAATACTCTTGCCGTCCAACCAAAGAGTTTTTCTCGTTTGTAAGGTTCATATAAGTTCCCAGCAAAGTTTGTTCTTCGGAACTACTCTGCTCTAAATTAGTATTGTTAATACAAACCATATGGGTTTACAAAAACAAACCTGTTTCTCTAATCTTAGCCTGAATTGCGCTCGCCTGAGCAGTAACATCAATTAGCCGCTCTTGGATCTTCTGCTGTTCGAGAGTAGTACCTTCGACATCATCCACGTCTTTCTGCAATATCTTCTGCAGTAAAAGTAATTTTAAAAACATATCAACGTACCATCGTTTCGTACTTTATGTATTCTAATATATAAAAACATCTGTACCTCTTGCATGAGCAAATCGATCACACGTGAGCAAAATTCTAATTATTTCCCCAAGGCACATGATGGTCTTGTTCGCTTCAGGGAGATAAGAAATACTTTTCCTGGCGGGAAGTTTGTAAATAAGTCTGACAATCAGTTTGACAGTCCTTCTGCTATATTTTTGAAATCCCATGAAACACAGTTACTAGCGGTTCTTTCCCATAAGTCTTCGAGAACGCATACATGACCACGCTTATAGAAATTTGCTGGTTGGCCAGCACTTCAGATCGCTTTAGTGATATGGAATATTACTGGTAACAATCTCCTGTTGCCGGGTTAGATATCACTAACCGATATCTCATCCTGCTCATATACTGCTCAGAATTTCGACGCGTATGACAGTCAAAGCAGGAAGAGTTTGGAGTCGACCGATCAGCATTTTGATTTCTCGAATGAACATTTACCTGTGTTGCTTAAAGCCACTATCTTGAAATATCAAAAACAAATCTGTTTTTCTTGAACATAGAATTCTCCAGATTTAATCGAAAACCAATAATTTAATAGACGTATAAGTCGCTCGGTATTCGCTCCATTTGGCTGTGTCATGTTACAAGGTCGGTGCCATCATGAAAAAGGTATTGAAGCTACCACCTACCGAATTTCCCTCTCTTGTAAACTATTCGTTTAAGTATGACGCACTCGTACTAGATTTAAGTTATATTAATGGAATGATATCGTCATGTCGAACTCCTTTATTTGCGCTGTCATCGACGAATATCAAACTTCCAATTATGGAGTTCTGGTATATATAAAAAGCATCTTCGAGCATTAACTTGCGACAATCTGACCGTCCAAAGCTTGCATGATCGCCTATACCTCAACAATCGAATGGTATTCAAAAGGCATAGAAGTGTATTTTGCTATAATTGTCGATGTTGTTTATGTCTTGTTATTTGTCCAGCGTTTCCCTTTTGGCAAGCAGCCTTCCATTCCTACTAGTAAAGAGCGAGAAGTGTGGTGATAAGAGCCGATAGTAAGTTCTTCAAATGTCCAGGTCTAAACCCCTACTATACGGTCATCGCCCTTAACGCGACATGGAAGCAGGTAGATTTGGCTTCTAAAGAGTTTAAAGCAAAAGGCGGTAATGGTCTTTTCCAATGCCAACCTGAGTGTAGTAGCTATTACACAAGGGCGACATAAGGCAGTCATCTTCACTTTAGAAATGGTACAGTTTCATTGCTCGTTGCTTATGCTCTCCCAAATGTCTGCGCGGTTTTAGTCAATATAACCGCTCTCTTGACCTTGAGATCTCCTTCTACGGTCTTTCTGAAAAGCTTTGAAAGTTCGTAGGCGAGTTGGAGAAATACTTTCTGCTCGTCAGATTCATGTTGGCAGTCCCAGGTGAGTGACCCTGGATACAGACGCTTCGTTGTGACTTTCAAACATTCGGCGTTCTGGTTGATGATTGGCACTTATCAACCATATGCGACTATAATCAGCTGTTCTAATCTTCCTAATTGGAAGTCACGTAAAAAGCGGCTCTGAAGAAGGGGATATTGCCGAAACGTCAGCTACTGTCGTATTGTATTGTGTGTTTTTCTATGGAAGTATTCGACCTTCTATTACTATACCGAAGTTGTTTAATAAACTACTCGTATTTCTGATAGCTGTTGTTTTCGTAAAAACCTTGTTAATGATATCAACAAATGCATTTTAGGATACTTTTATGATTTAGTTCCTTTAAATTTTCTAGTTTTTTTCCCCTTTAAAAAAACGATAATTTATGATTTTCTTGCTTCAAACGATACAGTATAGTCCATTATGATACTTCCCACTACAAGATTTCTATGTGCAACTGTTAGAGAACGACTTCTGAAATTGAGAGTTACCATGAATGACGCAGGTCCTCATGATAAATCAAACACTAGTGGAACTGATCCACTTCGCTACTAATGGCCTTGTAGAAGAGATGTTCTTCACTTCAGGACTTTTCTACGTCCATAAAGAATATCATGCTCTCGTCTTTGTGAAAGCTGAGTGTTAAAACATAGCGAAAACTGTCACTCCGATGACGATGCCGTGACATCTCGTTTTAACTGTAGACTTCCGAATAAGTTCGTCAGTGCATTCGCAGGTAGCTTGGCCCGCCGATCTTACCCGAAGCAGAGGAGCGTATTTGTTAGACGCGATTCTTAACTACTTTCATTCATTTTCCACTATTTTACCACATGAATTTTGTTAAACTGACGTTCAGGATAAATTCAATGTAACAGAAACGGAGGATCCATATCACAAATTCATCTAAGTCTCACGGCAAGATCACTTTTACTCTGCGTCTAGTCCTTCCTCATCACGTAGCCCTCCGATTAAGCAGGTGAGAATGGCTTATTCACAAAGAAATACGGGTCAAAGATACAGCAAAGCAATATAAAAATTACTTCCTCCGATTTTATTATAGCTGAAACGTGTATTAAAAGCAGCATTCAATGCATAGTCTCAAAACAAACTTACCTCCCATTGAGATACCACTTTCCTTGTAGGAGTAGCATTGACTGATGTTTGTGAACCACTGCTGAAGTCGTTGATCTAAACACTTCAACAAACTAGCAATGAAAACAAGGAGTACACTTTCTACCATCATTTTTCATAAGGCTTAATAATAACCAAGTTTTGTGAAAGAAAAAGAAGCTAACGAAAATCTTGTTAGCAAATAGTTTGTGCTAACAGCATATTTCTCTGTATTGCTGCGCATAAGGAATAAAACACTAGACAACGTAGGGAACGTTTTAAGAAAAAGAAAGCGAGTGTAGTGAAGTGGTTAGAGATGCCCTCCAATATACTCGTGGTCGTTGGTTCCCTGCAGCACCGCGGGTTCACCAAGCCTTCCATCCACTCGGGGCCAGCAAACTGCTACTAGGCACCTTTGCGAGGATAGCATCTCTGGCTACTGCATTGGTAGGCCTCCGGAAGCATGGGCCAAATCTGCATTTAATCACTTCCAACGATGCTTAATGAAACCTACTGCATGGCACAACACCCACGTATTGACGCCGAAAGCTTCATTTTGCTTTATAAAGAAAGAAACCAGAACTCCGAGAACCTCACTGCGAAATCTGTTCACAAAGTAAACCATATGTAGGGCGGGGGCAGTGCAGTACTTACTGATGCCGTCGACCATGGAGAAAAGGCGCCAGTGCGACCTCCATTCCAACGCTCTACGCTAATCCACTTGAGAACGCCATAGCTTGGCTATCTCCGAGACTACAAAGAGAATCGACTCGACTGCATTCTACGACATTCATAAAAAGAAATCTTCAAGTAAAAGCTGAAACAACGTGCGAAATGTTTAAAGACCACATTGTGGACGATGAGTGCGAGAAAAACGGATCGAAACGAGGAACGGCTGGTACAATAGATGTGACGATGGTTCGCGTAAATAAAAAACAGGTAAAAACGCATGTAGGCTGGAATCATACAATTCTTACTATAACAGCAAAACAGTTCGCTTTATGACCACGTTAGATCAAGAAACCGATGAATCTTGGAACATGTCCTTTAAAATATAAACATTTTATACTCGCTGAAATCTGAATGTTATTAAAAAATTCAACACTTCATCAATCAAATTTTAGAATCCCTAAAGTATGCAAACATCAAGGAAATTAAGTTGTATTAATTACATCAGTGGCTGCGTCAACTCAACATAAGCATTTTCAAACAATAAAGCCACTTCCACCACTATCAAAAGCTATCTTACCCCATACTGTCTTCCAAACTGAGCCATAGCCTCTCTCAGTTCCTGACTTCGCATGCTGCCATACCTTCTCACTCGATCAAATGTTGATGGACTAGCACCACTACGAGGCTACAACCACAGCAAGTGTATCGGTAAGGCAATGTAAATTCTCACAGAAAAATGATGTTATTGAATACATAGTCCTAAGATAAATTCCTTATTTGGCGATAGTTGTCTACTAAAGTAGAAAAAGCGACAGTGTAGTGGTTAAGCTTTTTTACTGTCAAGTAACGATGTGACTACGGTTCGGTGTCAGCAACACAGGCACACGAAAAGGCAATAAAGCAACCTAAACAGTCCTAATTCTGAAACCAAGGTAAATATCTAAGTAGTAAAATATTAAAAAAGAAGGCTATTTCAAAACTAAAATAAGTCTACTTGACAGAAGCGGAGTGGGAAAGTGAATGAAAAAAATGAAGAAGCTTTCCACAACACAAACATGCTAGAAATGATTTTCCTACATGTCCGTAATCATAGGTTCTTGATAAACAATCATCGTAAACAGCTTGTAACTCACCTTGAGCCGATCATTTACCACTTGTGTTGGTTTGCCCATGCCAGGAATCACCGGGGTAACATCGTCTAAACTGACAATAGAAGTTATCCAAGTGTAGATGAGAGGTTCGGAAACGACAAATTTCGTACAAGACAAGATTAGAGAAGTGTTAAGAACAAAGGGTTGGTGAACACTATTTCACAACAACACAACAAAATGCACGCTAACATTTTTTCCGCTGAAGAACCGGCGACGGATCGAGTTTCTTGAATTCATGGATCGAGACTGCCGGTCGTACAAGCTCTAAATCCCCACAACATACAAGACTACAGCTAAGAATTAATATGCGGATTTTAACCATATTAAAGAAATAATGCAATATATCCTTTACACAAGCGATCCACTTACAGTAAGCGCAAACCGAATGAATAATGCGATAGTCATATTGTAGTTTGCTGGTATTCAGTGTAATAGTTGAAACTTCGAAAAAGAAATTGGTAGTAAGCTCAAATATGCCTATTTACTTAGTTGAATATTTGGATGGCCCATCTTCATTATTATGAGGGAGCCAGCATAATCTCCGTTTTTCTCACTTTTGCTACTTTAGCTATTGTGGTTCACAGGAGGCCCGAGATTAGCCGCTCAACCAAAGTCTGTCCCAGGTCGTCACCACCAGTCGCTACCCTTGTGGATCAGAGGGAGAATTGCCACCATGCCACTACTAGTTTGATATCAAGACAGTGGTACCTGGCATTGGTCTACTCTTAGCTGGGCTTCCTAAGTGAAACACCCAAACACCCGAAGCTCAAATGTAGGTGCAATAATATCAGAAAGATTATACGCTTATGTTGAAATGAACAAACTACCTTTCGAAAGTAATCGGAAATGCTCAATAGGATCGTTGTGACTATGAAAAGTTTTTTAACAAACGTAGTAATACGCTTCAAAAGCACCACATCTATTCATAAAGAAACTCTAACCAATTCTCCGCAAGTCCGACGATGATCCATTCAGTGATGCCTGCGATCGATGGTTGTTTCGTTGGAGATTTGACGTCGACACAGATACTTCTAATTAAACAAGGAAGCTATATCACACAACTGCGACCACATGTCTAGTACTAACAGTAGCAACGAAAAAAGTGAGGACCGGGGCAACAAAACCACATCACTCTTTTTGTTACTTCTTCGTGACGTCATTCGGTTAATTGGTATTAAAAACTCCAAAACTAACCAGCTCCAAGTAAATGAGTAGTGCCATCCATAACAGCACCCTCGATAAGACGTCGTGCTTCCTGCCGTCGTTTTTCGTCTTCAAATGACTATAAAGATTAAGGGCACATACTACCTTAATTAAACATTAAACTGATTCTAAAACTGAGCTATCCTTTACTCTTAAATATACACTGAAAATCTTCACCGTTCCCATTGATGCCACCGTCATGGAATTGTCAAGCATTTCTCGAGCTTTCTTTCGCAGTTCTTCTTTTTTCGATGGACTACTGGTACGTCCCTTAATCATACTGTCTAGACATACCATATATAAACAACTATTTGTTACAGGCAAAACACAATTCGGAATAGAAGAAAACAAACCGATGAACGAAAAGCAGGAAGGGTTGAAGTGACCATAGTTATAGATACGTCATTTTCCCGAAAAGAACTAAAACATTTGTTTAGATGAATTTCGAATTGCAAAACATTAGTCTACTTCAGCAGAACAATGAAGAGCAACAAAATACTTATCTTCAAACTTACACATCCCTTTCAATCTCATTGTCCCCTGAAGAAGCATCATTGTTTTCAATTCCAGAATCATCAATCTGATAAGAAAACAAGTTTGAGAAAAAACTATTGGAAACAAAACTAAATAATGCACCTTAACATTTTTATGCGGTTCACCAGAAAAGTCGAAATCATTGCCATCTTTGCAGCCTTCCTAAACTTTAAAGAACTCAGTGAACAAATTAAGAAGATAAATCCTTAAGCATGCAAAAGACCTTCACGATGGCGTAGTCAACGGCTGAATCTGCTTCCCTCTGTTCCTTGATTTTTTTTATCTCATCGATTACCTGGAGAAGCCAGCAAAATTTACACCAAAAGACTACACCGGAAACAAAAGCAATACCGAACGTACCTTTTTCTCTGCTTCAGATATATGGTAAAGCTGAGAGATCCTATGATCAGACGATGACGTTGGGGTTGGTAAGTCCGTGACTCCCTCGAAGATACGCCGAATCCTAAAATCAGATTTTTTAAAAAAAGGATGAAACTTCATCGAGCATTGCTGAACAAAGTGTGAAAGATCGACAACTTCTGAAATAAAAAAATCCCAAATTTCGAGATATAATAAATTAGACTCAAATTTCACTACAAAAGACTAAATATTGAACCGCAGATTTAAAGAAATTAAATAGGACATCAAACTAGCCTTTCGAGTAGAAGCTTGATGGTTTTACTATCGGGAGTTAAAATGTCATTCTCATCCGGAATATCACTTATACCCATAGCTCTCGCAATAGCCAAAGCCTAAGTACACAACCGTGGACGAACTAGAAGCTACCAGCACTATTACGAAGAAAGTACATTAAAACAGATGATATCATAATGTTCATAAAACTACATATAGGACTAAAATACAAAAAACATGATGGAAACCAACCTTTTTCACATTGGATTTTCTACCATTCATAGTCTCAGAAAAGTCCAAGGCATCATAGTCACCGGACAGCTCCGGTCTGTACGAATGTAATAATGCATTCAGCGCCAACCCATTTCTCCATGACTTTCTAAATTGGCGCTAACTGCTGCATCGTTAAAGCTCATAGCTGGGCTTACACTGAGACACAAGTATGGTATAAAACACCCTCGTCTAACACACTAAATATGTAAACAAACTGTCATAAATCAGCCACAATGATGCTGAGATATTCGAAGAACTTGGACCCCAGGCCAGATCGAACCACGATTTCCCTATCCAGAGGCTCGCGCATTGCACAATACTCCGCGGAGATCCTTGCTCTGCTTTTCTCTCAGCTAGTTTTCTATCTACCAGTGTCATCAGCAATCACCCGTCAACGGTATTGATCTGGTAAGCCCACATCGGCATTGAATCCAGTTAAGCTAGAAGAAAAAGAAAAAGTTGGGAGAAACGCAGATCAAGGGCCTCCGTGGCGCAATGTGTAATGCGCGAACTCCCGAAAAGGGAAATCGTGGTTTGGTCTGGCCCAGCTCCAAGCTTTGCGAATACCCCAGTATTGCTGTGGCTGATTTCGCATAATACCATGCCGTGAAAACTGTGGTAAGCAGTAAATTAAAAGTAAACATTACCAAAAATCAATTTAAAAAGGAACTAGGAGAGGTTAAAATACAAAATAAGGTATGTACATATACATATGTATGTATATATTTACTATATGCGCTTAATTTCGAAGCCCATCAAAACCTTCTTTAAGGAATTTGTATATGGAATAGTTTCCTCAAAAACACAATGTTACTCACGTGAAATCGTTCACTTTAACACCATGGTATCCGAAAGTAACCCGTTGAGTCCAAGCCAGAAGAGACTCGCCTTCAACTTTTTCTGGAGCGCGTTCGCGTGATGGTGCACGTGGAGAATGTGTCCTGCAATAAAAGACGTAAACGATGAAATATTCTACATCAATTTAAGAAAACAACGTGATGAAACAAGGTATATGAATATATGGACCTCATAGTTTTCGGAGACACAGTACGAGAGATGAGTTCTTGATGATGATGAACTTGCACCGGTTGAGAATTTGCATCAACCTGATGATGTATATTATAACTATATTAATAGACGAAAAACATCAATGAGATTAACCACCTCAAAAAATGCTTGCGTTGAAGGTTTCGTGAAGTTATTGTGATCTTGGGACACTACCTTGTCTTCATTGGATGATCTCCAATGAGGGCGAATACTTCCTGCAGATATGAGTCTTGCTGATTGTTTATTCAACACAGTAATTCTGACAAGAAATGTTTTATACTGCTAGCGTTACATACCTTGTGCTTGAACGGATGTTGACCCATCGGTTATGGGTTCGGTTCTGCAGACGACTGTGCTCAATTCGGGTTCACGGTTATCTGGTTGATGCGCTCCTGATTTTTGATCGGCCGCATCCTTCGGATCCGAAGACCATGAACGATTCTGGATTGAATTCGCCACAACCACAAGTTCATGTTTCGCATCAACTTAAGCAAATCATGAAATTACAAAATCATAATCAAATCTACAGTGCATTAACAACAGACATACTAGCATTATTCAAAAAATTGAAAGAACGCATGGTTAGGGTAACATATATCGTATAAGAAGATTTTTACCGCACAAGGAATACAGTATCCTATTTATATTAAATTAAACCTAGTATTTGTTAGACAAATTTACTAAACATGTTCACAAAAGATATTTGGCTCCGCTAACTAGTCAAAGGCAACTGAAGAAGAGCGACTACTACCGAAATTACTGTTTAATTCACTTATAAAATGTATTGTAGTGCGATTTACACCAAATTCCTAAACAGAATCACAACCCGTTTGTTCTGAGGAGAAAGTGTGAATAACAATAACACCGATCCTGTACTCAAGAACAACTGCTGTAACTAAAATCAAATCACAACAGGTAATAAGTGCTATTAATCGTCGGGTAATATTATGAGCAGCTCAAAGTGTTCCATGCAGAAACCACAGAACTCCAATCTACTCGCTCAAAACTTCCGTGAAGAAGATAGCCGCAATCCACCATGCGCGTAAAATTGAAGATGGACAACTGACATTTGGTTCTCGAGCCCAACCCTCTAAACCCACGTTTGATTTTCATGCTTAAAAAGCCATCATTAACCGATGTAGCAACATTAACCAGTAGTAGCAACAGCATTCATTCGATTCCACAAATACGAGATCTCATAGAGAACTTTGCAATAACTCCGATTTAAGGATGAAACTACCTCTTTGCAACCAAAATGTCTATGTAATACATTATTCCACCTATTGCTTTGGAAAGTTAGGAAAGAAAACTACTACCTCTATGGTAGCATTTCAGTCCAATAAAAAGTGGAAATGTAGTAGTAAGTAGTCTTAGCAACTGTTTCAAATCTTTGCTTCAGTGAAGTTTTAAAGCGATAGCAACGAATTATAGCTTTACTGGCACCCGACTGAAAGGCTTCTTCTTTAGTGAGGGCACTGATGACAAAGGTGATAAGGTGATCAGAGGAAATGATTGCTATGGTTAGTGCTCCTTAACAGAAAAAAAACCTGCAGAAAATTATACGGATGTTATCAGGATTTTAAAATTATCCCAAAAATATCACATTCAACAGATGTAGCTCTAGGTGAGATGATAAAATATGGATCACGCGAATGACAGCTATTCTTGAGCTCAAGTGTAGTGTTTGTTCAAGAAACCATCCGGAAATTCGGCAAAACTATATAAAATTAAAAATGTCGTAAGTCGATAGTCATCCAAGGATAAACATGGTACTAATGATCCACCTATCCTCCTGACAGCTATACGCTCAGAGCCAAAAGTTTCACCGTGCTCATCATGGAACGAAATACTTCTCTCAAAAACAACTATGCAACATTTAGGTTTTATGGTCAACGTCAAAAAGGAACAGATATTAATGCACTGTAAAACGATAAAAGATAAAGCTTTCATCGTTGATCAATCCCTGAGGTATGCGCTATGCATACATCTTCATAAAGCGTCGTGTGAGATGAATGAATCTACGTCTGGCCCAAACAATGACTCGTGGTGGCCTTCCAATGTACCGACCCAGTGCTGCCATTCTCCCAGACAAGCCTGATACCAAAATGTCGACCCAAACGGGACGGAGGGCTTGGTGAGTCTAGGGCGCTGGGATTCCCATGTGTATTGGAGGTCGCCTCCGACCAATGCGCTACACGAGCCCTTTACTACAGTGTACAGTTGCAAAATTAACGCACCACGCCAAATTTTATATAGCAGGCATGTGAAACAAGGCATGAGTCTCAGTGATTCATACTGTCCTTGATATTGTGAACACAGAAACGTCATGGCTTCAGTCATTAGTAACCGAGTTTCTGCTACTTTGCAGTTAGAGAAAGCAATTAACCGCTGATGGACGCATAAACATTCTATTAGTTCTCTCACAAACTCATCTCAAAACTCTTCGCAGAATTTTAAGTGGAGAATGCAGCCTTTCTCGAACCAGACCCATTACAACGCGTCGTGAATAAGCCAATGATATAGTGACTCATACAGTCCGTTCTGCCTTCCTACTTCACGTGCGAATTTTATAAGACTCGTATGCGGTGTCATGTGTTAAGTCTTCATTGTTGTCATCCTTTAGAAGCGAAGTGCAGCAGCTTTTTTCGCCTCAGAGGCAGACTACGGATGGCATTTTTCGACTAAACGGCAGCAGAAGTTCCACTCGTAGCAGCGTGGCTCTGAAGAAGGTGAAATCGCAGACGTCAGCCATCGATCAACAACACTAACAATAACGACAACGACGACACCAAAAACTTACACCAACCTCGCATCAACTTAAAAAGATCACTTTATAAGTTCATATAAACAAATATTTCATTTATGCCGAGGTTCATTGAAAGTCGGGCTTTTGAATTATTAAGAGGCTTTCGAGAAGATTTAGAGTAATTTAACACACACACACAAAAGTAATCTGGCCCTTCGAACGTTTTCATGACGGCGCATAATTTTAGGTAGATGCCGTGTGGGACCAGTTGAATTGTAATATGGTTAAGGACCTGCCGCTTTTTGGACAATAGAACATAAATTTTTGATAGGTGTACGATTTGATTAGTTGAGAACTATACAAGAATTATGAAGGGGACTTTGCTCAATCAGTAGGGTTATATACGACACACTTTTTTTTCGCTGCTCTTTCTACATGTCACTATTCTTCACCATAAAACAATATCACTTGATACTTGATACTTGAACGGCCCGTCCTCACTAGTTGTATGAGCCACAGCAAAATCACCATCTTTTGGAGATTTACTCGTTAAGTCATTGTGGTTACCTGGAAACCCCAGGACAACCTGGCCAAAGTCTGCCCTAGGTCTTCACCACCACCAGTAGTCGCAGCCCCTGTGGATCAGAGGGAGATTTACCACCAAGCGACTTTGATACCAAGACGGTGGTGGACCCTGGTATTGGTTTACTCTTAGCTAGGCGTCCTGATGCAAACGCCGGACTCCCTCTCAGCTTAAGAGGCCATGCCAGAGGATGAATCACCTGCTGTACACCGCAGTAAGAACACCTTCCAACCACGATGAGGCGTAAACCGTTGGGAAGAACAATAATATTACTTCCAGCATTTGTAAACATTTTAAAGCTTACACTGAGTCTATCTTTGTGTTTCTATACCCGATTAAAAAAAGTAAAGCATAAAACGCTCAGCGTTGATCAATCCCTGGCGGATGCGTCGTGCATTGCATTCCACTTCATGAAGCTTCGTTGGAGGTGATTGAATGCATCTGGCCTTTGCAATGACTCGGCGTGGCGTAGTGATGTATCGAGTCAGTGCTGCCAACCTCCCAGACAAGTCTGGTACTAATTTACCGACCCCGGAGGGATTAAGGGATTAATGAGCCTGGGGCGCGGTGATCGATTCCACGTGTGTTCCAAGGTGCCTCCGACCACTGCGCCACACGCGCCTCGTTTACACCCGAGTATTCCACACAATAAGTATGATTCTCCGTAGCGATTTGAAAGAAACAACAGACCATTATCAGTCAAATTACCAGACAGTGAATTTGTCCGAAAAACGTTTTCTGTATATTTCTGAGTGCAGCATAAAGCATCTCTTGCCAACTCCAGCCGGAACACCTGTGCTGAATAAGGTATCAAATGATTGCAAAATATATAGAAAAATGATCTGTGTGAAGTAAATACCCGAAGAGAAGATAACCACTATAGAGGTCATACTGGTAATAATCTCTGCACAACATATAACGCATATCACACACCACAGCGAACTTTACTCAGCGAAATAGACTAGCACAATATAGTTCTAGGTTTCTGCAGCCCCAGAAGTTTCTTTTTTTGGTTTTTGCAAGCAAATATCGTACCTCAAGCAGGTAAGTAATTAATTGAGTGGAATTTCATCCAAAAAACACAACTGTGTTCTCAAATATGTCGTCAACGTGAACGACTGCATTCCTTTATTAAAAAACACCTCACTGTAGTGAAATTGCTCAGATTTTATTTTGAAAATAAAAACATTAAAAGAATATTAGAAAAGGCGTAAACACCTTTTGAGTGGCAGAGCAAAGTCTCACATACTTGGAAATGAGTCAAGTGCTCACGCACTTTCAATGACAAAACTAGTTACCGAAAAACTAACAACCGTTGTGAATATGTTTGATAATTTTCAATATACTCGAGTCGATATCAAATGATTACGTTGAGAATTTAGCAGAAATGGATTTCAAAATTGAAAATGTATAGTGTCGGAAGAATGTTCCAAAATTTATCGTACCTCAGTTTGCATTGGGTTAGGCCATTAAAGTATCTCAAACTTGGGTAATTAACGTGAAAACAACTATAACAAGCAGTACCATGGTCGGTTTGCTCCTCGGCTACATTTGCAATATCACATACACTCTGTTCCCGCGAGTTACAATCGGTATGCGAAGCTGTAGATGCAAGACTGACATCGTCTTTGCTTGAAAAGAAGAAATTACACAACTAGACTACAAGAATCATAAAAGATTTGTTTCTTTTTGAAAGATATGTCAAAAACACGAATTGAGCTAGATATTTTTATATAAACCGTCTTCACGTCAAATGTGCGGACCCCGTCCCCGTCATATTAGTTTCCTCGCATTCATTGTCCACGGTGATCTTCTAACTTTTACATGTGGTTTCGGCTACTGCTTGAGGATTTTCACTCCATCATTAATGTAGGAGGAACCTGGTCGAGTCGATTCTCTCTGGGGTACCGGAGACAGCCGGGATGGAGTGTTCCCAAACGGTTTGCAGAGAGTGATGTTTCCCGGACAAGTTCGCTACCAACTTCGCGACCTCGGAAAATGAAAGGCTTGGTTGTGCCGGAGCGGAATTGAACTAGCACCATGCTCGCGATAACCAACATAACTACCACTGTGCTATCCGCGTCATATTGAGCTAGATTATAACCAACAAGGGTTTTTGACAGTTTCAAATATAACGCATAAGTAATTCCCTATATAAAAGAAAATGTGACGTTTCTAAACAAAAACTAATTAAATAAAAAAAAGAAAAACTAACAAGCCCTCCTTGAGCAAATGGCTTGAGAGTAGCAGCACTAAACTGCATTGTTTGAGATGAGGGGTAAGTGGTCGTAATTTCAACTTTAATTCAGATTTTTGATCAGGAAGATCCATGACGAAAAGACGGATATTAAGCGGAACTGCTGCAATCGGCTTACGCCTCCCTTTAGCTGTTACTTCTTCCACTACAATTGTCCATTCCTATAAATACTCTGCGATAAATGAAGAAGTAATTTAGACTTTCTATTAACCTACCTCGGCATTGGTCAAATAATTCTTTACATTCTTACTGAGCATTATTCTTTACACTATATTCTAATCTTTGTCTTACCTTCTTTATTCTATATTTTTCGCATTTTTGTTGAGTACAGACTCATAGAAAGCGGCTTTGAAGGCGATACTGCCGAAACATCAGTTTTAACGAAATAAAAAATACAGTAACCCCTCATGTTTGCTCAACAAGAATGTCGAAAATTATTTAGACAAGACAGAGGTTAATAGAAATTCGGTTGAGAAAATAACACCTCATGTTTGCTCAATAAGAATTTGAAGAAATAATTTAGAATCGGAATAAGCTCAACAAATTTTCATTCGTTAGCTTATATGGAAAAAACAGGATAACGAAAAAGCACTAACTTTATCTTCGTACTCCTCGTCATGTTGCGATCTGTAAAGTGTCGTTAGAATGTCGATATGATCGGGAGCCTGCTCTGGCCACATAATTACTGTCTGATCCGGATTCGAAAACGACTCCTCCCATTTCCTCTCTTTCGCGCTTATTTTCCTTCTTCTAAAGCAGTGAATAAAACGACAATATATCTAGCATGAATACTATCCCATATCACATGAGTTGCTCATTAAGTATAACAGAGCAGCTAGATAAAAAAAAGCTCTCGGCATTGATCAATTTCTAAGGGATACACCATGAATTCGAGTCCACTAAGCATCGTTTGGAGGTGATTAAAGGCACATCTGGCCTTTGTAATGACTTGCGATGGCCAATAGATGTATCGAGGCACTGTGTGTATGTGTGTATGTATGTGTGTGTATGTGTGTGTGTGTGTGTGTTGCAGGGCGCCTTCAACCACTGGGCCACACGCGCTTCTAATAGCTAGACATCCACTTTAAATCCTCCACAATTAAGCAGTTTGGTACTCCAAGCCATGATGAATTGCTAGAAAACAAGGAGACCCTATTCGTTATAATACACTAGCATGTTTAAAACTTACATAACAACATGACCTCTATGAAGTTAAACAATATGAAAATAATCGAAACATCCAGCTTCGAATCAAATATCTCAGATTACAGTAAATTAACCAATTTCAAAAAAAAACCATTCGAATCTGTAAGCCGTTGCATAGAGAATAAAAGTTTTTTTTCCACCACAATTAAATAACAATTAAAGAGGGGGTAGCGCAGTGTTGGTGATCCCCTTCATTGCGCGGACGGCAAAACATACCCAGGCGATGAGTCGACGCCGATCTGAGCCAATAAAACCTCTCACCCACCCGGGATTGGGGAATTGGTATCAGAATAGTCTATGACAAAATCACTCCCTCAAACCAAGCGGGAACCCACAGCTCAGCTATCTCAGCATTCCAATAAGTATTAACCTAAACGGCATTCAGCGACATTCGTAATGAAGATGAAAAAGTTGTTAAGCATCAGCCTAAACCACACCCAGAAAGTTCGAAGAAATTTGTGGATGGTGGATGCGGGAAAACGAATCGGAAGCAATAAATTTTACGATCCGTATGGTGTCACATGTGTGATGTCTAATCATATAATAAAAAAAATTATGGCTTTCTGGAGCCGATAACATGTGTTCCTTTCACTTTGTTGCTTTGAAGCTCATATCTCGAGCACACAAGCAAACGAATAGGCGGGATATCGCCAAGCATGACAGGATCGTATTCCGCAATGCATCTCCTATGTTTGCAAACGTCAGCCTTCCGCTGGAAATTTTAAAAACTTGTTTCATTATCAATTTTTTGAAGTGTCAATCATAAGCATAGATATTTTTGAAATGATACTGTATAAAAACTGTATACGTGATAGACGAGATACTGCAAAGACCGTTCTATGCTGCTATAGAGTTCTAAACTTCCCGAAATACTGCAGTAATCGACCATTGCTTGGTATTTATGGAAAAGCCAGCCTAGGTACGAAAAGGTTAAAACGTGACAGTCAACTAACGAAAGTACTATGCTTACCAATTGTGCTTATCTATATAATAAAAGGATAAAGGATAAAGCTCTCGGCGTTGATCAATACCAGAGGGATGACCCCGACTTCACTAAGCATCGTTGGAGTTGATTGAATGCATATCTGGCCTTTACAATGGCTCACGGTGGCCTACCGATGTATCGAGCCACTGCTGCTATCCTCCCAAACAAGTCTAGTACCAATTTGCTGATTCCGGAGGGATGGAAGGCCTGGTGAGCCACGGACGCGATGATCGACCCCATGCGTACTGCACAGCGCCTCCCACCACTGCGCTAACGATATAATATCTCCGTAAATGCTCTTTCTTAAATGGAGAAAAAAATCACATACTTCTCATTATATTTTAGCAAATACCTGACTATCCACAAGAATTCTAATGTCGAAATTACGTACCTGAAAAGTCGACTCCTTATGTTTTACCAAACTAAAACGTAGACAAAACAAACCCAAAGCCAACAAATTTTAATCCCATTCTAAGTTCAACTTTATAGAATACAACTAAAAAATTGTTTGCTAATATGAAGCATTACAAAGCCATAAAAACATGACTTTTTTAAAATTATGTACGACCCGTCTTCAAATCTACTGCGCAGATTCCAACACTTCTCACATTCGATTCGTTTCCTCGCATCCATCATTCATGAAGGTTTCCAACTTTTAAATGTAGCTTCAGCTTCTGTTTGAGGAATTTCATTTCACCTTGAATGTCATTTGGTCGAGTCTATTCTCCCTGAAGTCCTGGGGTAGCCTGGCTATAGCGTCCCCGCTTAGATTGCAGCGACTGACTTTTCCCGGACAAGACCGGTACTAATTTACCGACCCAGGAGGGGTCACAGGACTGGTGAGTCCAGAGTGGGACTAAACCAGCACCGCGCACTTTAAGACCGATTTCACTACCACTGTGCTGTCCACCCCCTAAAAAGATGACTAAATAGGTCCAATCTTAACCTCACATGTAACTTGGGTCTGAGACAATCATTTAAGCGCATTATGCCAACTTTCTAAAACTAGGCATATTGTCGCTGTTTTCAAGTAACACTACCCCTCGAGTAATTTTATGCCCACTGGATCCAAAAAGGAGATCTACGACGACGCATGGATGAAATTGACAATGCACACTATAAATTACAATCATACTCCATGGTTCATCCAGAAAGATATGTAAAGACATCATTTTTAAAAAAACTGGAAAACAAGGAGGATATGAGTCTTGAATAACAATAAAATATAACAAATGGGTAGCCCCTGGAAAGGGTAATAGCGGGTTCGACTCCCACCGCTAGTACCAGCGGTCCCAATTTTTGCAAATACCTCATAGCATCATAATGACTCTATAAAAAATGAGCTTTTGACAGCATCAAAACATCAGAAACACTCTGAAAGCTCGCAAAAAGTACAAAGCACGATAGAAAAAAAACATGACGAAATAACAATTAAGGGCATAGTTAGATTTATAAGAGTAACGCACATGGCTGAACCACTGAATATATGACTCCTCCCAGCGTTTTAATTCTCATCGTGGCTGGGAGGTGTTTGAGGATGTGGTGCTGCGATATACAGTAGGGAGATCATCCTCAGCAGGGCCTCCAGAGCTGTGGAAGTGTCCGGCGTTCCCTTCAGAAAGCCCAGCTAAGAGTAAACCAATACCAGGACCCACCACCGTCCTGGTATCAAAGTCGCATGGTGGTAAATCTCTTTCTGATCCACAAGGGCGGAGACTGCCTGTGGTGGTGAAGACCTGGGGCAGACTTTGGCCCGGCTTACCTCGGGATTCTAGGAAACCACAATGGGTAAATCAGCAAAACTCCGAAACAGTGATGAGATTATGCTGGGCGCCGCACAGCCAATACGGACGGCCATCCACGAATCTCTGTAGGTAAAGTATGTGACTACTATAATGAAATTAAATGGAATAAATCCTTACGAAATTTAAACGAAAAGCAAGTTTAAAGCTTAAAGAAAATTGTCAGAAGGATGGATGAAATGGACAGCACCTGTGCATAAATGAGACGACGACCGTACTCGGTTTCCATTTGTCAGAAGCAACAATTAGAAGTTCTTCCAGAGTTGCAGTAAATCGATATTTTGCTGCTTTCTTGTTAGTTCGTCGTATTCGACGAAGAACAGAGGACATACCCGTTCTGGAAGTATCCCAACCATTACCAATAATCCTTGCTTTATAACAAACATTTTCGTAAGATTGTAGACATTGTAGACACAAAACACAACTAGCGAAACATACACGAAAACTCCAAAATCGACTGGGGGTCAAATAAACAACTACTTACTTCATTATACAATATGAGAGCTTAAGGAATAGGCAATACTTAAAAATTTCACCCGAAAAACTTATTAAGAACAGCTACTTCCTAGCCGTAGTCTCTTCATAAGAACATCATCCCTTGGCAGACTATTCAAATCGTCCAAAAAGGACTTACAACATTTACTTCCTCTCAATTGAGCTTATTATAAAGAACACGATTCTAACGAGGTAAGAGGCATTTACTATGAAATTAAAAAGAGCTATCTCTTAGCCGGAGTTTTTTCATAGAAACATCACTTTTGCGCCGACTATTCTTATCGCCCGAGAAAGATACATAACAGTTACTGTTTTCTTGCTGGATCTAGTAGAAATAACAACATTCTAAAAAATGTAGGAGACATTTAATATGGAATTAAAAATAGCTACTTCCTAACCAATGTCCCTTCATAAAAGCATCACCTCTACAAAGACTATTCATATCACTTTAATGATGCTGAGATATTTGCAAAACTCCGGACCGCAGGTGTCTGTGGTGGGGAACGAATGCGCTATTCTCCTTTCCGGGGAGCAACGAATAATAACAAAAGATCGATAGCCGAGAGACAGGCGAAACGAAGGACCCGCATGGTGTGGTGGTGAACGCGTTACTCCCCAGAAAGGATAATAGCGCGCTCGTTCCCCACCACAGACACCTGCGGTCAGGAGTTTTGTAGATATCTCCGCATCATTAGTTATATTTCGCAATATATACCCCGCCGTTAAAAAGAGTAGGCAGTAAATAATAAGTCAGGACTATTCATATCGTCCGAAACGGATGTACGACAGTTACTTCTTTCCAGTTAAATCTAGTAGAAATAACAACATTCAAAATGAGTAGGAGACATTTATTATGGCACAAACCACTACCACTGACCACCTGAGAGACAAGGGGACTGCACGGCCGGACGAAACGTTGACGCGAAGAGGCGAAAGCGAGCGAGCTCTGCGTCTATAGCCTTTCTCACTATGCGCTCCCTCACCATCGCACGCTGATAACATCACTCTAGTGTTGGTGCCAGAGTGATTTGCTTCAGAGCATCTGCAACCTTAGGCAGCGTTATTTATCCCATATAGTTTATTCTTTCCTTTTACAGTTTTATTCAAAACTGTTTTTATTCTAAAATCAACATTTATGCTGTCAGTGCTGGTGAAGATTTCATGACTATATCCTTGAAAGTATCAGTTGTGGTGTGGGTGATCGATTCGTTTCTCAATCCACAACAACACGATGTGAACAAATTTCGTTTCTTTTTAAAAACTAAGATTTGTGATTAAATAACACAGAACGCGAACATTCTTATCGTAACATGTCTCTTTAAATGTTTCTCACATATAACCTTCTTAGTGAAAATGTTTTACGTGGATACCTGCGCGACCTAACTGTCTTCACTGGTTATTTGCTGGTTTGGCCATTATGGCTCCCTGGAGTCCCGAGGTCAATCTTGCTAAAGCCTGCCACAGGTCTTCATTACCACAGGCAGGCGTAGCCCTTATGAATCAGAGGGAGAGGGAGATTTGCCACCATACGACCTTGATACCAGGACGTTGGTGGATCCTGGTATTGGTTAGCTCTTAGCTGGGCTTTCTAATGGAAACGCTGGACTCCTTCTAAGCTACAGAGACACTGCTTGGAGGAGAATCCCCACGCCGTATGTCACAGCCCGACACCCAAGAATACCTCGAAGCCACGATAAAGCGGTAAACCGTTGAGAGGTTAGAATGTTTTATGATAGGGAATTCGTGAAACTGTAGTAGTTGCTCCCAACGTCCGTCGATGATGCTTATATTTTTGTTATTTTCCTAATGGTCATGCTTGTGCTGTTTACACTTAGGTTTATAAGTTACATTCAGTGCTGTTGCCTTTTTGTGTATCGTCTACAGTCAAGGACTCTACTACACACCCAGAAATACCTTCTGCTACCGGGTGGGAATACCATTAAAGTGTGCACGAAAGACCATTTCAACTGGTATACTTTTCTGGATACTTGGATTGACCTTGTTCACTTATTGTGCGGACCCCAGTATGTTTTCCATTCTTCGGATATTTGATGGTTTAGCCATTGTGGTTCCTTGGAGTCCTGACGTCAGCCTAATCGAAGCATTCCTCAGTTCGTCACCACCACAACCAGTCGCTGCCCTTGTGGATTGATATAGTCGTCCTTAAAGGCTATCTGTCGTGAGGCTACATCGAAAGTGTGAATGAGTGAAAGAAGAGGATAGTTAATCGTATGAGTCTTAGACGTGGTATTGAGCATAGAACAAAGTGAACCGTAAGACATATTGACGAGGAGATTCTACCCATGGAAATGTCGCACACTTTCCATGATTACTTGGTACAAAACCCTGTCTCGTACTAGCTAATATCTCTCCTTTTTTACTTTATTACAGTATTGCAACCAATTACGCAGCTTCGAGTCATTTTTAAAAAGAATCTTATTCGTGTCTAGGGTTTTGTTATGCGTGGGAAACGTCGTACCCTTCTCAGTATTTCGAAATCTGAACGTTGTAATACATTACTCAGGTGAACAGTACACTCACAAGACGTATTTATCGATCGAACGAGTTCGTTTGATGCTTTCCCCTTATGATTTCAACAGGATCAGCAATCAGTTTTAACTTCATAGATCTGTATTCTTCTGTTTCTTGACGTCCGTATGCTTGCCGATCTATTTTTACTAAGATTATTTTCACTTCTTAAGAGTGGGGTTAGATGAGTCAGATTTTCGTATGAACTTCCTTGACTTCTCCGTATGCGGTTGTAATGGAAATCGCGGACTAGAATCTGGCCTGAGGTCCAAATTTTGAAAATATCTCAGCATAATAGTGGTTTTATTTCACATTATACACTGACGTGAAAAATGATAATAGACAGTAAATACGAAGCTACCATTGTGAATCCTCAGGGTCTTTCACGTGTACTTCCATGGGAGGCCTCGTGTGTGCTCTCGAACCTGATCATGACGAGGCTATGACGACCCTCAACTACAACAAATGTATATTGGCCTTTAGACCTCCACTGATAACCGAAGAGGGTCATACCTCTACAATGTCATCTTCGGCTACTTCACTAGCGCACTAACTTCGGAAGATCATCTGACGAAACTCACATTGGGTCGCACCGATATGGAGTGAGCTGAAACATTCTGAGTCGGTTGTGAGAACCTATAGGAAATATCCATTTCGAAAAACGTTCACGTCATCGTTGTAACTGGGCGCTGTTAAGTTTAAAACGCTATAGTGAACTAACCACGTGATTGCGTATGAAGGCTTTGCCTAATCGATTTCGATGCTCTCTAGTCGTTGTCGCAGTAGAATTCTTCCAACAGTATCTTGAAATTATAATAGCGCTCGCTTTTTTATTTCCCTAGTGCTATTCTGAAAAGATACTGTTGTCAAGATTATCGATGATGAGTGCAATTGACTTGTTGTGATTATCGATAAAGGGTACGGTTTTCTTTCTTCGTCCTAAGCTGAGCTGAAGTTATGCTGTTCGTCATAATCTTTCGAAAAAAAACATACATCTGGAGCGCTCAGAGATTTTCGTAATGTGAATGAGATATCAAGAACAAGTGTGCTTCTCATGAGCATGAATTTTTTTGGCTTCTGCTGAAGCAGACGTTTCGACGTGCAACTAAAATCGGCCAATATTCTGCCTGGCTAGTGATTAGTATTACGACAACGATTTCATCCACTAAGTCCATGCCCGCCGCGAGCTTTCACTCTGATTCTGTTCCAATTGGCCTTTGATTTTGCGTGGTCGAAAGTGAAACTAAATACAACCACAACGTTGCTGAGATGTTTGCAAAACTCTGGAACGCAGGTGTCTGTGGTGGGGAACGAACGCGCTATTGAAAAGTTGCAAGGTACCAGATTTGTCTGAGAGGATAGCAGCACTGGCTCGATACATCGGTAGGCCACCGCGAGTCATTGTAAGGGCCAGATATGCATTCAATTACCTTTAACGATGCTTAACACAGCCAAATGCTTTGCGCATACTTGAGGGATTGATCAACGCCGAAAGCATTACCCTTCTACCTTATGGGTATGGGACATCATACAAAATCTCTCCTGAAACAGTTTATTTATATGTGGTTTCCTTCATTCGACATCCTGTAATTCTCTGATATCTGTAAGGGATGACTCGGACAAATAGCTTGTAGACGACGGACAGCCCGCAAATGTGCTGGTAAAGGTTGGCGCTGGGAGCTGTTGTTGCTCGAAGATATTTCCCACTGTTGTTATTGGTAACGGTCTCTTCCAAGAAGCTGACCAAGGAGCTATAAAAATGCCGCTTTATGATGGTGTTAGAATTTTGTTCTTTGAATTTTGTGGCTTATCTCTTGTAAAACTGATCTTGCTTGGAGGCGGTTATGGGTTCCGTCTAGTACAGGACTTCTAAACAGTGCCAATATAGGTTAGGCAGAACCGTCTATTTACAATGGTGTAGTTAGTTTCATTAAAGAGCGTTTTATGGTTTCTCTTAAGTGTTCTAACTCTCAATGGTAAGCTCAGATAACAATGTAACCTGTATGTTCCAATTCATTCCATTCATATCCATGAAGAATTATTCCAGTGTCCTTCTGAAGACAGTCCTGGTGTTGAAGATTTTAATGGTGGTACTGAAGGAATTTTTTAAGGTTTCGTTTAGTCTGAATTGCATTGAACCTTATCATATTTCGACTCATAGGGAACTCTGCAAATTATAGCAACCCATTCTAAGCAAGCAAGTCCCTTATTATGTTAGGATGTTTGTGGACCTCACAGAGGATATCTTTTCGCTTTTTTTGCGTCAAAGAGGAGAAACCAAATGGACTACCCAAATGGTAGTACTGAAGGAGTACTGACCGAAAGCAAATGGGCTATTCGGGATATCGACGTACAAGACTATTGTGTCACCCAATGTATCATTGGTGTGGCTGCTGTACTTCTGTCAAAATTTGGAAATTTGAATTTCTTTTCCGGATTTCGGAAAGTTTCACTCCCAGACTTTTGAGGTTAGCCCTGATATTTTGTAATCCGTATGTACACAAGACAAGAGTGGTGTTTGTTCAATAAGTCCATGAGATTCTACAGCTTTCAAATGTTTTGTCTATGGGAAAGTTATCGGCTGTTGCTAAATGAGAATTTGCTTGCGAATGTCAACGCAAATGGCTCGATTGTGGCTTTTTCCACAACTGCGAATAATTTTTCGATAATTGAAGCATTTTAGTACTTGAGAACCAGACAGGCCTGTGTGAAAGACCTTGTTCTGTCGCAACAAACGCACTCGTAGTTTTCTATTATTGCACCCTTTTAATTTTAAGAATGTTTGAAATTCAAATTTTTTTACTGAAATTGTTAAAGAGGAATTTTTGTTCTTTTTTGTCAAGTACCACATCCTCGAACGAGCAATACAATAGGATGACGCCATCATGTCCCGCTCATCGAAATCTGGCTTGTTCAGTCGTATCACCGTTTGAAATCGCGCTTCTACAGAAAAAAAAGAATTACGGTGGTGGGAATTTTGTGAGTTAGAACAAATCAGAGTTTTATGATGGCAAAGTAGTGAAATTTATTTGCTTTGGAGAATCAAACTAAAGCTGAGATACGTTTGGTCTAATCATTTTCAGCGCTGCCAGCATAGCGTGTTAGCACCATCCCGTGCTTGAGTGAACCACAGTCGGAGTACGCATTGAAATAAAGATGTACGGTCGAAAACGTGCAGTAGCGTACATATGGGAACAAATGCGCACGTTCATGAGGATTAATTATGCAAAGAGCAATTCTTTCCGAGCTTTCTACACTTTATTCGTACCTGGCTTTATATATTTAGCTTTTTGATGCCAACTCACGCTCATTGTAGCTGCAGAAGGTCGTCGTAGAATTTATACATTCTCTCAGGGTGAAGCGCTCCTTAGATTTTAGCCGCTCTTCATTATTCTTCGCAACAATGCCATGTCATCTGTTTGAATGAGAAGAATAGTGCCATTTATTTTTACCGAATACCTCCTATTTCTTTCCTCGGCTAAGGCATATGGGCTGCAATATATTGCGTCAATCTTGCTTTGCTTTTCCATAGCAAACGTTGCGCTTAGCTGTACTTAGGCGGCGTGCTTGTAGCGCAGTGGTTAGAAGAGCGTGTAATACGCACGTGTCTTGGTTCGGTATTGCGCATCGGGCTGACCAAGCCTTTCATCTCTTCCAGGTGGATGAACGAATCAGATTTTTCTGAAAAGAGTGCAGCACTTGCTCGATACATTCGTTGGTGGCCACGGCAAGTGATTGTCCCTGATGGATCGGTCAACGCTGAAAACGTTAAGCTTATCTTTTACAGCGAATCCCAAGCCGTCCTCAATATTTGGGGTTATTTCACTACACACCTGTGACATGCAAGATGCATTCCTGAAATGTTTGCAATACCCATACAAGTGTGAAAGTGTATGACTGTGCAAATACATAAGAAAATATTTCGTCCGGTGAAAAAACTGACAAACTTAGGCGGTGAGAGGAGCCATGTGGAGTGTTTCATTTAATACTTAATGAAGACCTTTTCAGATTCCATCACTAGATATGTCCTCAAATCTATCTGATATAAGGAACATGAATATCATAGAGTACGCCTATTCTCATGAAGCATGCCGCCTTGTATCTGATGCAATCTATAATCAGCTTCGTTCACACTCTTCTATAGTTTTGTAAGCCGCTGAGATAATGTCTGCTATTCAAAGACTTTATAGAGCGATCAAGATGTTAGCGAAATGGCTACGGTTATGCATTATCCTTTTGCTGGAGGTTTCACCTCTGCTGCCGTACAGTTTTCGGTCTGAGAAAATCAACTATATTTACGAGAAGGCGCTACAACATATTGCGGATAGGAAGCGTCTGCAGAAGCTAGAGGTTTTGAAATTTCGCATATTTTTTTCTCTAAGGCTTCATTGAAGGCTTATTCTGTTGAGTTTCTTTCATGACATTTTCATCGATACATTTAAACAGGGTGAACTGACGTCCTACGACAAAGTTTACATGGACACCAAGACTCTTCCGAAGTACCGAGCAACCTATGAACTTTCCAGTCAAGTAGAGAAAATTGACAGAAAGCTCGCTACATTACTGGAAAAGTACGACTTACAGGAAGCTATCTATGCCTTTAAGGAGGTAGTTTTTTTTTCTGCATTATGTCTTCTTTTTTTGGAGCATTTAACGTGGGAATGCTTTTTTGCCCTATCTTTTAGTGCTTCTTCATGGAAACTCATGATGTAAGGGTTGGATTGTCGTCAGGATGGATACGAGAAATTATTGTGGAATTTAACTACCACTGTCATATTAAGTCTATGCTAAATAATCATTAGATCTCTAATGTCGTGTTGGATGTTTGGTAATACTTGGACACTTGGATGGCCGTGTTCACCAGTTATGCGGGTTCTCGCATATTTTCTATTCTCATAGATTTGCTGGTTTAACTGTTGTTGTTCCCTGGAGTCCTGAGGACAACATGGCCAAAGTCTGCCTCAGATCGGCACCGCCACAGGCGGTCGCCGCCGTTGTGGATCAGAGGGATATTTGCTACCGCTCCACTAGTTTGATACAAGGACGGTGGTAGGTCCTGGTATTGCTTTGCTCTTAGCTAGGCTTCCTGATTGAAAACGCCCGACACCCAGGAACACCTCCCAGCCACGATGGGACGATGAACATAAGCGATGTGCGCTATTGATGTACATTTTAGGAAATTAGTTTATATCAGTTAAGCGAAATACACTTCTTCTTGATGACTCATGGGATACCACTTTGCTGATAGCAAGTATAGAGGAAAAACATGAGTTGAGGGGAAAGCAAAGGTTTCGGTGGGTGTGGAGAACAGTACGTGAGAGCCACCCTACTCGTCCCCTTAAAGGTGATGGGGTTCGAAGCACACCTAAGGTTCTGGTTTGAAGCCCACCTGAGTTTTTATACCTCGTATCTCAACATCCTTGTGGTTGTATTATTAATGAGAGGGTTTCCGATTTTCTTCCTGTTTAGAAAATGAAGCACAAAAATGATGACTTCGTAGTTGCCTCAACGAAACAATCCCCTGAACTGGATCGATTCGATGATGAGCGTCTGCAACAACTATGGGAAATGGCACATGGTGGAAAATTTTCTGAGAACGAATTGAGAGGTCCACATTTGTTTTGTTCCGTTGTAAATCTTTTCTTTCCTGCTGAATCTTTTTTTATTAGTTTAAGGCCTTATGTGTGGCGGTTCTTTCAAAAATCTTATTTTTGGCAACATTACGGTGAATTTATTTTTAGCGTTCAAAAAGGAGCTGAAGGATGCCGAGAGGAAAACAGAAATATACCATGATGCACTTAAAACAATGAACAAGGTGAGAGAGGAATCTATCCATTCTATTATTGGTTAAAGTTGTTTCTTTAGGTTTCAATAGAAAATTCAATCCACTTCGATGACCATCAGTTCCTGGACATCAAGGTGAAGTATCAGCACCTCCAATTATGTATAAATCCCTATTTTCACGTTGCTCTGATTGGGATTTGCAGAATTCGCATTTGAAGAAAGCATACCGGGATATGTCCAACCATATTGATCGACTTCATCAGAAAATCAAGGAGGACAGCGCTATCCCATTCGAAAATGAGCGTGTAAAACGCCTGTGGAAAGCGGTAATGAATTCTGCCACTTTTTCAATGGTTTTCACTCAGTTTAATACGAGAATGCGAGACTTTTTGAAGAGTGAGCTACCTAACGAGTTTTCTCTCACTTAGGGAAATATTCGAAGGCATTCTCATGCATAACTAGAGGTGACGCAGAGGATGCGTATGGCGCAATGATCGCAGGCATCCCGCAGTACTCAAGGGATCCGTCCCCCGCTTCAGGTTCACTAAGCCTTCTATCACTCTGGATCGGCAAATTGGTGCTAGGCTTTTCTGGGAAGATGGAAACACTGTCTCGATACAACGTTAGACCGCCGCAAGTTATTGCAAAGCCCAGATATGCGCTCAATCACTTTGAACGGTGCATAGTGAAGTCGAATACATAGCGCATCCCATACGGCTTAATCAACGCCGAGAGGTTTCTACTTTTTTCCTTTAACTATAGCATGTTGATCTAGACTGCTGGGTACTCGTGTTTGTGGTGGCAATACTTTATTTCAACGTGTAAATCTTCTACACTTTAT